GTAGTTAATATTATGAAGTGTTGGCCTCTCCCCTTTTTATCATTAAGGCCTCCATTATTTTTAATCTTTTTTTTTTTTTTTTTTTTAACATGTGGATGAGGTTATTATATTTGTATTTTCTACTAGCATGTTTCGGATGGAATCGGCTAAGTTTGTGTGTGTTTAAATTGGTTTTAATGAAGCTGTACGTATAGGTGTAACGTAAGGCGTCTTGATAGGCATGTAGTAGTGTGGCCTATGTAATTATTTATAAACTCGGTTTGGTCAGGAACACGGTACCTTAAGGGGCATTTGAACTTGTATATAATATTCGTTTGTTGTAATTTTGACTTTGCTTTGTGTTGTTATTTTTGTAGCTAAGTTTTAAGTTTTTTGCAGTAGATAATTTGTTTTTTTTATTTGAGTCATTTGGGGTACTGTATTTCATTATAATATTTTTAAGTTAAGTTTCATCGTGCTTGTAGTTAATGTGCATTTGGTTTTTGTAGAAAATATTTATGTAATTTTTAACAGTGTGTTTACTATCGTTGTTATTTATTTTGGGGAGAAATAGTCTAATTTGGTAATCTATAAAGTGGTTAGGGAAGCCATTATTAATTAGTGTTTGTTTTAAATTATTGAGACGTTTGAACAGTTTTTACATACTCTCTGTCCAAGGAGAAAAACACTTGTTCGAACAGAAGAAAAATTAAATAAAAGTTTAATCGTATTACCTTGTCTGTCGTTTTTAATTATATATATATATATATATATATATATATATATATATATATATATAATTTATTTTGAATAAAAAATTCCAAGAGGATAGAATCAGGTAGAACTCAATGTCTAGGACAGAGTAAGGATATGATAAAAAGGCTTAAACACTAATATTCCATGGTCATAATTTGTTCCATTGGAATCGTAAATACGATCTAATTCATCAGACCTACAAATTAAAAAAAACAGAAAAAACAACTCCGGAAATAAAAAAATAAGTTTTGAAAGTATGACATATTGGGACGAATGTTAGAGCTAAAGAGGGTAACACGAGAGAAGGTGGGAGATTAAAACTTAACAGAGAGGAGTTTCAGAGGTGAGTTAAAGACGGTTTTGTGAGAGAAATATGAATGTTGTCACTTGTCTAATACATTAAAGATGTAACCGGAAAGGATACATTTTTGTGGTGACATACACACATTCATACTCCTTTAACTGGCCTTCAACTTTTCAAAAACTCCTCTATTTTCTGTCTGTTACATCCTCTTTTTGCTCTAACATTCGTCCCACACTCTCCTCATACTCTTTCTCTCTAATTTCTATTTTTATTTCCGGGTTTTTTTGTTTTCTTTTTGAATTTGTAAGTCTGATGAATTGATCGTATTTACGATTCCAATGGAATAGATTATGACCATGGAATATTATTTTTATGCCTTTTATATATATATATATATATATATATATATATATATAAATATATGCTGTTACGATGAGAACGAATAGAGTACACTTCCAACATTCGTAACCTTTAATTTAAAAGAGGGCTCAATACAGATTAGAGCAATTTTATTTATTACAATAAACATACGTGAATAAACTTTAAGAATCCCTACACAATTGCAGTTGTGTTACAACGCATAACGATGCGTCTCATCGGCCACTGTAATTTACTGGCTAGTGACTGATTAATCTATTTTTCTTTTGAAACCAAATTAATCGTTCATTCGCCAGTAACTTACAATCGCCTGAGGAGACAAATTGTTATGCGTTGAAACAGGACTGCAATTGTGTAGTGATTCTTAAATGTTTTTGTTGTAATATTCTAAAATAATTTACACACACAGGCGTGGGTCTTGGGATGTTTTCATGGGTAGACCAAGATATAAATGTAAGTAGAAACCTCGAAACATGCGCCAGCATTCCTTTAGAGAATTGCATGTCCAGATCATTTAGAGATTTAAGATGAGATTGATTGATTGTTTTTTACGGTTTATCAACCATTTGCCGATTATTCAAAGACAGAAATATTTTCAGATTTAAGAATTTTTTGAGGACATTTTAATGATATAGTGATACTCTTTTTACTAATTAACCCATAGCTGGGTGGGAGAAGTGGTGGATTCATACCTATCCCGATGTTAATTGCCCGTACGTGAATATAACAGACGTATCTGGAATTGGAACTCTAATTAACAATTCCGAACCATTATCCATTGCACCACCTGGACCTCCGATATTACAGTACCTGTTATTCCCAAGTGGTCACCCTTCTTGACTCTGACCAGGTGTGACGTTGCTTAATTTCGGTGATGGTACAGGAACCTGTTTTTCCCCGTGATATGACGTTAACTTCAAGCGGGGTTAGAAGAAATCGCTCGTTTTCATTTCTTTTGTTTATGGTTAATGTTTAGTGTTATTTATTTTCATTAAATCCATATCACTTATTGTAGCGGAGACTTGACTCGGCGACTCAAAAGAGCCAGAGTCGCGTGTATGTTTTGCAATGGAATGTGGAGATGGCGAATCGCTGAGCTTCGGACTGAAGGTGAATAGGGTAGCACTTCATGTTGTCGGAAGAGATAGTATCTCTTGTAGCCATTTTTATTGACTGGTTCTGGACGCTCATTAGCTAAACGATGGCATAAAAGCACGGTACGCTGATTCAAGAGGAGATTTGACTTGTGACGAGGAGTGGCGTATTTGAAATTGAGACGCGAATTGTAGATTTGTTTTGCCAAGTGGACCTATTGGACTCTGATATATTTTTTTTCCTTTTCCTGTGTGTGCTTTCGACCAATATTCCCATACTTTTAACGGCTTAACAACACTTTCTGGCTTATTTAAAGCCTGGACTGGAAGAATATTTTTTTTCTTTTCTTTGCTTTTTTTTTTTTTAATCAATTCACCCAAAGCAAGACGATAATGCCACTAAGACGCAAATGGGGAAACTGGAAGTGATAGAGAAGAAAAAAAACTTTAGAAGGAACCGAAAACCTAACCTAAGCAGGAAAAAAAACCGTTTAAACCTCTAACCCTGTTCAAAAATTTAGGGAGGAGTGTGAACCGGACGATAGGATTTGTTTTGCCAAGTTGACCTATTGGATTCGCATATAGTTTTCCTTTTCCTTTTCCTGTGTGTGCTTCCGACTAATTATCACACTTATTTATGCTGGTTGGGTGATTGGAGGAACGGTACGAGGGAAAACTGAAAATTATCCGTACTCTTGACTAAAGATGTTATGGAGAAAGAGCCGATAATTTTTTTACCTACCCTCTTATATATGGGCTTACGGTATGACCATGAAGTTATTAACACATTTGCTGAGGTGACGCATTGAACATTTACGTATTATTGTTAAAAAAGGCTCTAACATTTCTGTATTCCTTAATAAAGGGAGCAATTCCTTGTCCTATATTTGAAATGTGCTGACATCAAAATGGAATTGAATGTCATCGAAGGCACAAACACAAGTTGGACGAGAGGGGGCCGATTTATGCTGCCGAATTCTTGAGAATCTATAGCTACTCTCCCCTCAAGGCTCCCACCCGGACTTAGGAGCAAATTAAAGTTTTATAAAATTAAAAAAAAAAAAAAAAAGCGATAAACTGTCGGTATTATACGTTGTATAAAAATATACACTCTCACCTACCTGTTATTCCCAAGCGGTCACCCATCTTGATATTTACCAAGGTCAACGTTGCTTAACTTTGGTGATCGTGTAGGAACCGATGTTTCAACATGATATGGTCGTAAGCTTCAAAATATATCTAAATAAAATGAAAAATAAAATTCATTACACGGTATCTGCAATATGCAAGTAAAGTGAGGTACAGAATACAGGGTTATCACTGGGCGTTAACTAAAACTGAGGTATCCAAATGCTTGTCACGTGCAATTAGAACAATCTACCTCGTGGACGAAATAAAGGGTTCGGTTCGAAATTTCCCCAAAATATCACCTGAAGAAAGCCGGAGGGTACAAAGGCTGAAACGTCGTGAATGTGATAATAGTCAACAGCCTGAACAATGTAAATAAGTCTAAATCTTTCATAGGGATTGCTTTTCCTCTTTCTTCAAAATGAATCAAAATAAAGCGAAAAAATATTATTTTCAAATGTACTTATAATGTATTTACAGTCTGCCAGCCGAAATAATGCACAGAATATAGAAGTAATTTCCGAATTTCATTTATTATGTTTACAGATCAGTACAAAAATTATGGAACGGAACCTGTAAGGGGAAATATACATACATACATACATACATACATACATACATACATACATACATACATACATATACATATATTGTTACGCCCGGGGTTTCGTTGGGACTACGATAGCCGGAACGCAACGAGAAAATAAAAAAAAAATAAGAGATCCCAAGGTTCAATATAAAAATAAAGAAAAGAACGTTGGGAGGGGAATTCTCCAATTCCGGACGTCGGTAAACGCAGAGAGAAAATGAACAATTCGCAGACACAGAACAACAGAAGACAACACGAGAATATACAATAAAAAGATTTTATTTCTAGAATACACGGAGTGTGAATATAAGAAAAAGAAAACTAAATAATACAAGGGATGGGGAGATGAGTTACCAATTATTAAACTAAACAGATACTAATGCGGCGAAATTCATATGAATACAGAAATAGCAGACTTTAAGATAGGGAAAACATGCAGAAACTTACATAAGTTTGGAATCGACGTCGATTGACAATTATCGGGGTACAATTTGTTCAAAGGATATTTATACACTTCTTTGAAAGTAACGGATGGAATTGACAATGTTGATCTACAATCTCGCGTCGGTCCTTTGGTTTTTGGTGGCATCCAATTTTTCTAATTGCGAATAGCTAAGACGGGTTTTTGAGCCAGCAACTGTGTGTGGTTGTTGTTACCTCAACACGTGCGAAACGAAAACTGCTATATTTTGAGTCACGTGTTGGCCCCCAAAAAAGGTATGCGTCATTCACGGACCCTGTTAATATCATCCACAGTTATCTGTCAAGCAGCGTTTGTTTTGACCAGTGACTATGGAACTGGTTAACATCATTCACACCTATCTGTCAAACAGCGGACCAGGTAGGAGATGGGGGTAGAAGGGAAGGTTCTTTTCCGAGAACTGGCCCTGACTCATCTGGTTATAAAAACAATATATATCTCACAATCTGCATATTTAAGAAATAAAAAAAATTAAGATTCATATGTTTCGTCGCAAATACAAAAGGTACTGAAAATGTACTTATAAAATCTGAGGTGAGGGTACAAATATGGGGTTAACGTAACAAAATATATATATATATATATATATATATTGATTTATTAATTGTTTTTACTGTTTATCAACCATTTATTATATATATATATATATATATATATATATATATGCTCTACTTTGTATCGAGCACTGTTTCTTAAAAATAATAACAAAAATACTAAAGAACTTTCCTATTTTCTATATATTTTCACACACACACACATATATATATATATATATATATATATATATATATATATATATCTCAAAGTATGTAATAATTGGCCAAAAGTTCTGCATATCCGAGTACTTTCGGCTATTCGTTTAGCCATTTTCAAGGACTCTCTTTAATTTTTAATTCAACGTGTATGTGTTTATGTATGTATCTGAAGTTAAAATAATGTTTTATTTTCCAAACACGGTCAGCACATTGTGGCCGCGTCCATAGTTAATGTTATTGAGTGTTGGATTTTCTTTTTTTTTATTATTTGGACTTCCATTATATTTAATCTTTTTTTTTTTTTACTTGTGGATGAGGCTATTATATTTGTATTTTTCACTAGTATGTTTCCGATGGAGTTTGGTTAACTATATGCAAAACGAATTTTCTCTTCCAGATACAAAAAAATACACAACTCTAGTCATCAGAACGAAAAAATTAAATTATCTATTTTAAAAGTTTTAAAACAGTTAAGCTTATAAAAAAAACCCCAAAAAACAACACATCCGCAAAATCAAAACTACACGGAACCAATATTATTTACGAATACAAATGCTTCGTAAAGAAATGTTCATGAGACAAACCAAATTCATAAATTATTCATATTGGTCATATTACTACATCACTATCTAGACGACGCACGTTACACCAACACCTCCTCATTTAAGACTCATTTAAACACACACGAAAACCTCCATCCGAATAGTACTAGTAGAAAATATAAGTATAATAGCCTCACCCAGAAAAGAAAATATTTTTACGAAGACAATGGAAATTTGAATTAAAAAAAGCTTTATCGCAGTACCTTTGTCAGTCGTCTTTAACGAAGCTTGTATAAAAGAGGGATTGCTGCCCAAATACATAATATACATACACACACAATTTATATATATATATATATATATATGTGTGTGTGTATATATATATATATATATATATATATATATATTAGTATGCATACACAGATACATACGACAAAGAGAGATAAGTGCGCAATTTAAATTCTGCACCACCGAATCAAAACAATCGTAATTTATTTCCGAATGTGTGGAGTGTCCTTCAGTAAGCAATATTTTAACAGACATTAGATTCGCTGAGAACAGAAAACTACTACCAACGGCCATTTTGTTTCTTTTTTCCTTTTCTTTCTTCCTTCCTTCCTTCAGTTTTTTTTTTCCTGTCATCTTGAAAGAATTTCTAGTCTACACGAATCAATTGGGTACAAAAAAAAATGTGTCTCTGTAAATGAATACTTGAGTGTTTGTTTTCTCTTTAAGACAATGTTTCGATTATGTTTTTATTTATGGCGTTGCCATCTTCAACTAGAGAATCTTATCGAACTGTTCTCAGGCATTCAGTTTCTCATATAGACTGAAATTCCAAGTGATTGTCATACGTTGGAATTTTCGAATCTGTTACCTTGTGTTTATTGATTGTTTTTTCTTTGTAATGACATCGTTCCGCCCGATGCTGTTTCCGGGCTTCTTACTGCTATGGTTTCTGAGATAAGATATCCTTAATTTTTGACAAAGATTCTTCTGACACAGTTTTCATCTCTCTGTGTTTTTCACGGCCTTTCACGCACACTTAAATTTCCCGACCTTCTTTCTGGCTTAAATTTTGAGTTGAGATATACGTCTCTCTATCGTTGTTTTTTTTGTTTTGTTTTTTTTTGTTTTTTTTTTTTTTCAAGTTGAACCAGCGATAAAATGCAACTATAAGGGAGTGTAAGCAATTTATTAAAATAAATATCAATAATAAAGAGCGTATTGTCGCAGAGAGTTGGAATAAAAAGCAATAATAAGATGGAATAAAACTAGTAATAAAATAATAGTAATAATGAAGAATGTATTGAGTCAGTGTTGGGATAAAAAGCAACAATAATAAGATGGAATAAAACTAGTAATAAAATAATAGTAATAATGAAGAGTGTATAGAGCCAGAGTGTTGGGATAATAAGCAACAATAATAAGATGGAATAAAACTAGTAATAAAATAATAGTAATAATGAAGAGTGTATAGAGCCAGAATGTTGG